ACAGTACATACATTCCCAGTCTTGTGTAGAGTTTCAACTGTGTATTACAACATATTGAAAACACTTTTGCGGCTCATTTATGATTGATGTTGTGACAGATACTGGCTGTTTTTAACACATTGTAATGACTGTGAGGAGAACACCATCTTGTCATTGTCTCTATATTAAAACTATAGATTTCCTCTCCTGCTTCACAGACTTCTGTGATATGTTTTTCTGTTAGTGCATCAAGACAAAGTCAATAACAAAGGAAACATATCATCATATATTAGTTTCATGTCCATTTCCAATAAATACAGGCATTTACATACATTTACAACGGAAATTCAAGCTTCAGAGAGCAAAAATAGACATTGACCGAAGCTGTGCGTGAGTCTCAAGCAAGATGCTCTGGTTATGCACACTGGCACGTCGGCTAGAATGGCAGAGAAGTTTCACAATCATTGACAATTTCACCTCTAGCTGACGCTGGTAACACAGTGGACGTGGGAAAAGCCATACACCAACAAATACTGTAAATACAAAGCATCTCAAAGGAGTAGGATCTTAAAAACAACTGGAGTCTTCCTGTTGTGCTTACCTGTGCATGTGCGCAAATGAACCTTTCTGGAATTCATTATTTCCTCATTTCCATGGTCACAGATAAAACCAACATTTAAGTGGTCAGGACAATCCCTGAATTTCCTCCAGCAAATAAACTCAACTTTAATTGGTAAAATTGTGTTTTCACCATTTGTTAGACTTGCTGTCTGAGCTCCTCACCACATGTCCAGTGGTGAACCCAGGCACCAATCCATTTCAGCTGCTTGTACCCACAATCCATTTCTTTCTAACATTAGTCCAGCACATTGTAGAGAGCTGATGAGAGGGGAGCCTTTTGAATTTGGAGCAAACTTTTAACATAGTGACTCTCATTAGATCTTCTCCAGGACTTACACAGCTCTTGCACAGTGACAGTTCACTACCACACACACACACACACACACACACTTCACTCTTATTTCATTATTCTGATAACATGTCTCCACTTGTCCAGCAGGATCCTTCTAGATTACACGGACTGTTGTCATCAGATACACACTCACAAGCACCTTAGGACGTAGATGAGGGAGGAGTCATACAGAGAGAAAAAAATATTAACACCATCAGCATATTTACATGAGGTGTAATGTTCCACATTGTTACATGAATAATATTGTTGTTTATTGTGTTCAGGTCATTTGCCCCCTGTAGTGGATCTACTGTAAGCAGGAGTGCAGCTGTTCCTAATAAAGTGCTCAGTGAGTGTATGTGACAGAGGGAGGCAGTGTGTGTGAGACTCCCCTGTGGGGTTGGATATTGAGAAATGGTTCTAAATCGTCTATAGTTCATTAAGAATCTTGTTTTTGTTTGTTGAGTGCTGAAGGTGAAGGTTGGACCAACTGCGCTTCATCTACCCTGCAGGTATTTGATGTGTCAGTGCACCTGTGTACTGTTGACAGACCAGAGCTACCCCTGAAAACTGTGGCTGCAGTTTCCCAACGACAACACAGCAGTGTCTGCGTCTGCGTCTGTTCATTCCTTTTATAGAGAACAGTAAGGTTGAATAAAGGCGCAACATTCCCGCCTCGAACAGGCTGTGTAAAAGAGACTTCTGGCAAGTTGCACCATGAAGTCTAAGCTCGTATTTCTTGTCCAGTTAAACCCGTTGTTTTTTAGTGACGTCACTGTGTTCCCACTTCTCAACAGTTCATTTGGTGGGTAAAAATAACCAAATTTTTCTTCAGGGGCTTATTGCACCAAATCACTTAGATCCAGTGAATTGTTGTGAACTGTGGAGAGTTGAGTGAATGTCAGGGTAAGACGTCCCTGCTACAGGCTCATCACTTAGCTCCAGGTGAGAATAATGGCATTGTTGCTAAGCCTCTCTCTGTGTGTCAGAGTCTCTCAGTAAGCTGAATAATGCTATTATCACTAAGCTGCTCTTTCACTGCTCATTCAACATGACCCAAACACCCAGCTGTTTCACCCTATGACATTAGCATACACTGTGTGTGTGGGTGGGGTAAGGGGGTCATCTCCATCAGGTTAACCAGGGGTCATGGGATGGTCATTTTAAATGTTCCTGTTCACACTTAACACTTATCATGTAGCAGCAGAGACCCCTCCCTCCTCCCCTCTTCCCTCTGTGGCTCTTACTCTTCACTCTTCACTCTTCTCTCTACGTCTGGACCTCAGAGTCTGTTGTTTAGGAGAGGAATGTTGTGTATGATATACTTGTAGGCCCACATCTTGACTGAACAGTAACCTATGACGACATGGGTTGACATTGTAGTTAGGGGTTTGGTCCAGGCCTCAGCTTTGCAACAATCAACCCCTTAAAACATAAACTGTCCATAAAATCAAGAGCACAGTCAGTGTTTTGATGATCATTTTATCAGCTGTAGTTATTTATTGTGTTAATCTCATTCAGTGTTAGACTACAAAATGACACTGTCAGCTGTTGTTAAAAAACATGAATATTTTAAGGAGCTGCGGCACATTCAGAGCTGAGCAGCACTTTGTCCTGTCACTCTGTGAAACTTAGCTAACATAACATTAGCTCAGCATCCAGAGGGAGACTGACAGCTGCCAACAAAGAGACGCAAAAAGACCGTGTCAGTCTCTTCTCGTCAATCAAACTGCCGCCCTCCATCTTTCTATTGTCCTCTCTAAGTTGTCGTGTATCTCTGTGTGTCTTGCAGCTCCTGGACCTCTTCATGGTGTGGGACTGGTCCACTTATCTGGCAGATTATGGCCAGCCAACCTCCAAATACCTGCGAGTGAATCCAGCCACTGCCCTGGCTCTGCTTGAGAAGTGAGTGTTGACACTGCTGGGGAAGTGTGTATAATATTTCACATTTTGAAGTAGTATTTACTGTAGCAGCGTGTTTTAGCAGGAGTGAGGCTCAGGGTGTGCTGGGAAAGAGTCTGTGAAGAAGAAACAAACTGGCTAAAATCTCTTTTTAAACTGAATTATCTTTGAATTATTAGCGCTAGAATTTTTAATAAGGATGCACCAGTGTGGAGGATTATAACCCATTCACTTCAGATGATAATATGGCAAGTTGAGGTGATTGGTCACTAAATTGCTCTTCGATTACTCAGCAGAATTTAGTTTTCTCAAAAAAAAAAAAGGCTTGAAGGCCATTTGGGATTTTCAGGTTCTTTGGTATTCAGATCCAGATCCAGGTGACTGTAATCTGATTAATCATATCATGAGAAATAATGATTCTTTCCTGCTGGGAAGTAGTGAAAATCTGATAGATACAATAATAAATCATTTTAGGTCATATGGTCCCTACTGGATTCCATCATGCTCTGGGCAGTAATGAAATGGGTATTAAAGTTCATTCTTCTGCAGAAACCCTGTACATCTATATATTATGATTGTGTATGGGAACAAAAATCACAACTATTCATATAGCATTAAAAATTGTTAGCATGCTCACACATCATGACATATTCTACATTTTTTTTTTAAACATCTTCTCTCACATTAATATCATTTAATTAAATGAATTCTTGCATATAACTTGTGAAGCGCTCAGATATGAATGTGGCTGTGTTTCCCTCCTCTAACACTTCTTGTCTGCTGTTTTTCTGCTGCTGCTGCTGCTGCTGCTCAGAGTCTACAGGGGGTAGGTGCAGCTTCCTCACTGCTTGTCTTTGCTCTTCTACAGCATGCTCTGATATCTTGTCATGGCTCTACCTCCTGTGAACTATAGTTTTTCTCTTAGTAACTTAAGTCTGAACTACAGGTAACATTTTTGTTAAGGTTCAAATCCATATATATATATATATATGTTTTCAGGTGTGATAGTCTGGACGGAGATTGTTTTTGATACGTAGCGAAAACGCTCTTATGGACAAAGATCGTTTTTGAAAAACGCTGTTTTCAAATGAAAACGTAGTTGTTTGGACGTAGCATCAGAAGCTATACTGCAGTATGCAGATATATCTGCTCTTCCCTTTGTTGAATATGGATCCTGCACCTGGTATAAATATAAGAATAGGGTGCTTTCACACCTGTAGAAAAAATCATAATTGTTGTCTTTTAGAAGTGGTGTGGTGTGTTCATACTGACTTTTTACAGACAAACTAAAAACTGCAAATATGAAGTCATACTGAATGACTGATAACTCACTGAGTGAACAGTTTTGATGATGTCATTCTGCATTTTCCCCAAAAGAGGAAAATGAAACTGCAGAGACTGACAGATAAATGTGCTGCTTACTGCTCTTTACAGCAGGAAAGAGATCAGGAAATCACTGATGATGAGCTTTACATGTTCACATGTGTTTTTTACACTGACAGCATAATATTACAGGCTGATATTTACTGTCAGTATGTGATTACTAAGTTTCACTCACATGGTGATTGTTACCATGGTTACAAAATGGTCTTGCATACATGCTCTTCATAACTTATAGAGCCCGGGAGATCGCTTTCTTAACAGAATTTGAATTTGCACTAAAATCATAGACCTACCCTCATGACAAGCTGGTTGATGTGTTCTGCTTTTACACCACAAATGACCTGTACCAGCCTCTGCTTGGACATCCAGTTGCTCTGTCTGCAACAGACTTTGATTGACAGCTTTCCCAGCAGCCCAAATGAACCGAACTAAATGCTCAAAACAAGTTTATTTTAGCTGAACAAGTTCAGTGTGAAAGAACTGTAAACATGCCCATAACCCCCTCTCTGCACTGCAAGTCTTTACTTTATCCTGCTGATGCAAATTAAATTCTGATATTATCATTGTCTAAATAGTAACCTTATAAACACAGCTGATAGAACATATCTTTCTGACTCGACTCTTTGACATCTTCTTCCTCTGTTTCCAGGATGAAGGACACCAGTAAGAAGAATAACATCTTCTCTCAGTTCAGGAAGAACGACAGAGACAAACAAAAGCTGATAGAGACTGTGGTGAAACAGCTGAGGAGCCTGGTCAATGGCATGTCCTCGTGAACACACACACACACACACACACACACACACACACACACACACACACACACACACACACACACACACACACACACAGACACAGACACACACGGGAGTGATGTGGGTGTCACGGAGAGATATAATGAATGAAACATGCATGCAGTCACATGCACACACATACACACACACTGAACTGCCAGGACACTCACACACAACATGACAGTGACATGAAGAACCACACAGGGAACTTACACACACAAACATAAGGTACAGATAGACAGCCAACAGACACGCACACACATACACGCACACACAGACACACACACACACACACACATCACATTACGGCACAGCAATACACACACTCTATAAGGCATGCAGGGAACTGACTCCTAGCAAACACAGCACACACATATGAAATCATATCCTCTCCTTACTGTTATACCTGAATGAATATTCAATGTAAATAACACACACACACACACACACACACACACACACACACACACACACACACACACACACACACACACACACTAAACAGTTTACTGGACTGAACAGTAAGGTGTTTGTAAAGTATTTTTAATGGTTATGATAAGACAAACTATGTTTGTACATTAGTGAGAGTGAAATGATTGTAGCTGCAGAGGGAGACTGGTGCAGCACAGGAAGTGACACGAGTACTGGGACAATGAGGTTAAAGGTCAACACCTACCACACCTCATATGAATGAGATGAGCCACTTCCTGTTCTGTCAGAAACCCATATTATACATTGAACATGATGAAGTCAGGATGTATTTCTTGTTTTCATTTGGAAGAATTACAAAGAGAGATTGAAGTATTGGTAATGTATTGATCAAGCTGTTAAAACAAATCAACTATCTCTAGTTCTGTCAGATGGACATCTCTCCTTTGACCTGCTGTGCATCCTTTTAACACGAGTCTCATGTTAAAAGCTGAAAACAACATAGATACACACCAGAAACCAGGTTACTCAGAGAAATCAAGTGATGCAGGTGATCACACACCACAGTGGAGACCTGTGACTGTCAGCTGTGTGTGTACATGCAGGAGACCAGTAGACACATTTCTTTACTACTGCTGACATTATTTTGGAAACCATGGCTGCTTATCTTTGTTTAAAAGCAAATTCATAAAATACCATAACCCAGTGTCATGTATGCACAGTAAAAAAAGGAGGAATTTAGCTGTGGAAATATATCAATTTAATCCTCTACCAATATAATCCTCTACCATGGACCCAACAGGTGTCTCATTTAGATGACATTAAAGAACTCACATTACTGTAACCCAGATTATTAATTGCATGCTGACTTTGGACCTATGATCTTTAATGTAGCTCCATGTAGAGTCATATTAACATACTGCCTCTTGAAATGTTATAAAGATTTCCCCTCCATCATTCATAACAGTGAAAATTCAGGCGGAATCGCTCCCACTAAAGAAGGCAAAGTAAATATGCACCTGTAAGTACAGTTCAACACAAACAGTCTTTAAAGATGCTGAGACAGCAGCAGTAGGTTTGGAACTGGATTGGAACTTGTCGGCTCCTCTGCGACCTATGATTACCCATAAGACCCCTCTATGTGTTAACCTGCAGATACATTTACACGAATGATATCATTCTTAATAGTCACTACATCACTAAGCTTCCAGCACCACCGACATCATTAAGAAGCATAAATCAGCTTGTGGCACTTTCTGGTATTGACCAGTCTCATAACCTGGTTTCTCGTGGTTTTAGCTGGACCCTGGTAACCACTGAATTATGGGTATGGAGCTGCATCCATTGACAGGTCTGACAGAGACCAAGTTAAACTCATTGTCCCAACACTTAGACTGTTGCTACTGTGTATGAGTGTGCAGAAAGGAAGTGATGCTGAGGTCATGGATTGATGGAAGAACAGAAGAGTGGATGATGACGTCTTGAAAGACTGATGTTCATGAAAAAAGTGGAAGTTTTGTTGAACTCATTGGTATCTTTGCTTGCTGTTTGTCTTCTTTTCTTCCTCACATTGTACATTTAAACCCACCCCCCTGAGACAGCGCCTCACAGTGAACATGAAGGAGCCCAGAGTCAGAGAGATGTAACTCTGACACCCTGATCGTAGTTGGAATCTTCACATGTTCTCTGTATGTGAGAATGTCAGAAGTGAGGGTGAAAATCTTTTTTTTTTATTTGGTCCGATATGTTTGCACAGGTTGGACAACATAACACCAAATAATGCAATCCATTACACAAAGTCATGCAGACTTAGGTTGGGTAGTTGCAGGTTCTTTTACTGGATTGTAATAGATTGTACAGGTTGGAGCGTCAAAGTGAAGACATGCAGCAATCCTGACACAGGGTTTGCATGTGATGTCAACATATGAGAAACTTGCCTCGGTCACAGGATACTGACACCTGGTAATAACATGCACTCTATGTCTGGGTATATGCATATACTGTATATACGCTACGTAAATGCAAACAGAGCACACAGCAGTTGGAGTGTGAGTGGATCAGCCAGACCATCTGTGAAGGTGTATTTGAGTCAGATCTCAGCCTCTGTCCTCACTCATTTTAAATGGAAGAATAGCTGATATCACAGCACAGCTTAAGTAAGTAAGTTTTATAGTAAGTTTATCTGCAGCAACAACGTGGTTTCGCCTTAACTGAGAGATTAAACCATGTCCGCAAGGCTCCAGCAGAAGACGTGCGATTGTACATGTGAAATAACAGCGGCCTGTGTAGACATCCAGTGTCGTATAAACAGCCACATCTGCTGTCTGTGTCTGTTTTGGATGATATCAGTCAAATATACTGAAGTGCAGCAGACACACACAGTGAGATGTGATACAGGCAGACACGTTTACATGTGCAGTTTGGAGCATATGATCCTCACGTACAGTCTGCACCAGCTTAGACTTTGAGCATCACAGAGAAGTAAATTTACTCATCTGTCATGTGACCCTAACCTTGCACATTGTAGCAGCCCACTTAGAGCCTCCTGCATTGCATACAGAGATGCACTCACCATGTGGACAGACACCTTTCAATAGCAGGTGGAAATGCCCAGGCCTGTAATCAGATGTCATCTCTCAGATTCAGATCACATGCTAATACGAGGTGGAGCTGGGTCTAAACTTCCCGGCACATTTCAGTGTCCACAGACAGACTGGCAAGCCGTGCACGTCATCATCAAATCTGAAGAGCTCTACTTCTATAAACCATTAGCTTCTTTTCCTCCCAGTTTCACAGCTGTACTCATTCACAGCAGCAGAGCAGTGATGGGCCGCTTGGTGCTGGTTCAGGTGGTTCATGTGAAAGGTGACATCAGTGCATGCCCACGTCCTCCCTCTGTACTCCTGTCAGTTGTAGGGTTAAGGACTATATTTATGTGAAGTTAACTGCAGTTTTGTCTTACAGTCCACCCAAACTACTTGCCTCATGCTTACAAGAAAACATGCCCCACATGGCGGGGGTTGTCATGTTAGTAGTGATTATATATACGTATATATATTTAACAGCTCAACTTCTAAATTCTTTCTTTTTGTTCCTCAGGGTGAAATTAAGCTTTAGAATCTCATAACCCACATCTATCCACAAAGCACAGCAATAATAAATTGGTTCCTTTACAGCCTCACAGGCAGGTTGATTGATTACTTAAAACTTGCACAGGACTCCTGATGAAACATTTTATAATGAGACTGTTTCTATTCTGTTTATGTTTTGGGTCTGTGCTCTACTTTTAGCGTTTTTGCACTGAAGCTGATGAAGTTTTTTTTTTTTTCCTTTTAGATTCATGTTTTGCCTTTTTTGATAGTTGCTTGTAAATGCCACTGTATATACTGCATATTTTGTAAAGAAGATATTACAGCAGTTTGTCTGCTACAAACAGAACTGGAGGTTGACACTGTGATACGCACCTCCATCAACACCTGAAGTAAATATGACGTTAGTGAGAGTCTGAATTTGCTGAATTTGTTGCTTATTGGTGAACACAGTCGAGTGCAGTGTGAGGAGCTCAGTGACGTATGTTGGCACCTTCTCTCCACTCGTTCGCATGGTTAAGGTATAAAAAAAAACATTATGTTATGTTCTAGCATAGGCTCTGTATAATAACTATTTAAATCCTGGTCCAAAAGATTTCTGCTGAACTGATAAAAATCCAAAATAAAGAAAATAAAGGGCAGGTCTAAATTCAGTTTTATTGGAAGGATTCTCTCCTCTCTGTGAGTGTAAACTGGTTCTCTTGGTTGACCTGTCATTCAGCTCTCCCCCCTCCTGCCATTCATTGATGTCCATTTTACCATTAATTCTAAATAATAATTTAATAATAGCTGAGTCTGAAATAGAAGCTGGACCAGTCCAATCAGATGCAAGCTGGTGCTGATGGTAAAAATCTCTGAAGACAGATGGAATAACTGTGCCAATTACATCATTCAACAAGAGTCATGCCTTACTCACCATTCTGCTGCACTCAGTTTTTATTTTTACCACAAATACTGTTTTCATTCACCATTTATTAGGGTTCCCCTTCAACAAAACCCCATCAACAAAAATATCTTTGCAAAGGGCGGGGCTTAACCATTGGTGTGATCATCATAAAACTTAGTCCATATCTTCGGGCCGGGACACGGAGTAGGCCTACCAAATCATTTTCAGCCTGATCTCCAGGGGTCGCTATTTTCAACAAAATTGGTACACATGTTCTGGGAGTGAGCATTAATGAAAATCTGAAGTGCCATATTGATTGATGAAAGTGGGCGGGGCCTATTCATCAATATGTGCCTTCTTAAGCCTTTGCTCAATTTGCAGAGAGCTGGAACGAGCCAGACACAAGAAAATTGGCATCATAACTCCAAATGGTGTGTAAATGCTTCACAAAAAATATGATCCCATTCAGCCATATGGTGGCGCTATAATTTACAGTCAAAATTGTGAAAAAATTTGAAATGCTGCCCCCGCCACAACAAGGGTCTAATCATCGTCAAATTTACCTCACACCTACAGCT